GTTTAGTGATATTTTCACAGTTGCGGTTTCGACTGGTCTTGAAATAAAATGCCGAGTCAATCACCGGGCCCCTAAGGAATTACCGGGCCCCTTACGTGGAGTGAAACTGAAACTTTTGAGTTGGGGTTTGGGGGGTATTTAACATTAAATACACCCTTATCAACAGGCGAGGGCGCACTTTCTCTGTCTATAATCACATATTTCAATTACTTGAAACCATTCCTCCCTCCCTGGCACTTCCAGGCCCGGGCCCCCATTCGGCCCGGTTTGGGGGGCAGCAGCCCCTCCAGCCCCCCCTATAGCTCCGCACATGCCGAGTCCTCAGAGCCCGAGACCGATCTCGAGTACTACAACCCTGATGAAAGCACAGGTGGCTGTTGGTACCGGTACCGGTACCGGTAGTACCCTCTGGCGTCGAAGTGTTGGCTGAACCTCCTCCTAAGCTCCTCTGATGAGATGAAGACTTGCAGGTGAGCAGCGGCAGAGGAAAACACGCCCAAAACAACCACAGGGCGCCCTCTGGTGGATGAAAACAAAACAAACCCCCAAACCCAGGATCCCAACAAGAGCTGCCTAAATTTTTAAGTTCTGATGGATTATTAATCTAAAATATTTTGTTGTTATAATTTAATTCTGTCATTTAATCCAAATAATTATTTCTAATTATGCATAAAAATCTGTCCTCAAAAGGCTCACAGTTATGTTTTAATTTAACTCAAGTTATTAAGTTATAATAATTGCTCATTTTAAGTGAGAATAATTTAGTTGATACATCCTGCATGAAAAAAAACATTTTATTAAACATGAAGCTGAATTCTGCTAAGAAACATTTTAGAGTTTATTTGATTTGAATTAATCATTAATTAAACAGATTTACATTAAAATGAATGTTGTCCTTAATAAACCAGAGGATGTAACAAACATTCATCTCTACAGCAGGAACAGTTTATTATTCATATGAATATTTATTCATATAAATGAACATTTGATCACCAGAAAAGTCCTGATATGATTATGAACGAGGCAGAAACGACTTCTTCATGTTTTACTCTGAGCGTTTCAGGAAAAGATTTCTATAGCAAAAAAACAATAAATATAATAAACATAATAAATATAATAAACATAATAAATGTAATAAACATAATAAATGTAATAAACAAGCTGAGCTCAAATAAACATCAGTGAAACTTTTGAATCTGGGAGAAAATTTCTAGAAATAATGATGAAGAAATGAATAAATCTAACATTTCTATTTGGAATAACTCAGTAAAAGGAGGATTATTCATTTTAGAGGGAATAACTGTCCAGTATTCACTTCAGTTCAACTCAAGTTACATCAACTCAAATTATTCCAGTTACATTTTTATAGTTTATTTTTATTTACCAGACATAATAAATCAATAGTTTTATAAAACAGATATCTGGTGGATGTCTAACAGGATTTCTGGTTGTTTTAAGGAATTGATGATGATTTAATTCTGATTTATGAAACATTTCAGGAAAGTTTTGCTCTTTATCATCTTTTAACTCTGACATTTTCACCAGCAGGTGGCGCCTTAGAGTCACACATAAAACTAACGAAATGCAGCCACAGACCTGATCAATAATCTATAAATCAATAATAAATCTAGTGATCGAGAGACCATCAGATTCTGAACTGGCGGGTTTTCCCTGCGGTCCCTGAACGCAGCAGCAATGTTTACCCGCTGTTACTAGGCAACAGCGGCGTCAGTCCAACCGGCGGACTTGAAGCAGGGAAACGCGGTTCCGATGACCACACCAGTGATGGACCCGAACCGGGCCCCGGTGGCGTTCGGCCGCCGCGCGGTCCCGCAGCTGTTCGAGCAGCTGCAGGTCCAAGACCCCGCCCACAAGGTGCGCGCTCTGACGTCACTCTGCGACCTGGTCCACGAGCCGGAGCGGCTGTACCAGACCGTGACCGGAGGTGAGCGGGCCGAACCGGAACCGGGGCCGCAGCAGGATGGTGCGTTCACGGTCTGGCCTGTTTGTCCTGTGCTGCAGGTTTCCTGAAGCAGCTGCAGGTTCTGCTGCAGGACGACGATGCTGCAGTCAGGAGCAAAACCTGCGAACTGCTGCACCTGGTCATGAACCACAGCATCGGCAGGTAGAGGTCAGAGGTCAGAGGTCCCGGAGGACCAGCGAGGGCCTGGAGGGGAAACATGAAAAAGTTATGAACAAAATCTGGTTTTTAAAGAGGAAAATGGAACAAAAAGACAAGAAAGCAAACATAAAACTAACAGAAGAAGAAAATGTGATAAGTTTTAAAACATCAACATGAAACTAAAAATGTTTTTTATTTATCATGTTTGTTCTTCGTTCAGTGAAATAATTCACTTATAAAACTTTCCTCATTCTGACAAGAACAAAAGTTTACATTTAAATCATGAAACTTTGAACAAAAACATTTAGAGGGACTTTCTTTTTTCAGATTTTATTTATTTTCAATTATCTCATGAATTATTTTTAAAACACTGAAAAAATAACATCTCCAAAAAGTCTGAAAAATATTAAAACAAAAATAGCAGGATTTTTATTTTCACATTTTTTACTGATTTAATTTTTTCATTTTTTAAAAATTTGCTTAAATTTTAAATAAAAGCAAATTGACACAAAATAATGTCAACTTCTGCAGAAACATTTTAGTTTCTCTCAAAATAACTTTAGTTTATTTAATTTATTTAATTAGTTTTACAGTAAAAAAATTTGATTTCTCAAGTTTTTCTCCAGACATTTGACTCAAGTAGACGCAGCAAAACTTCAAAACAAAATTAATAAAACTGCAGTAAAATAACTGCAAAACGTCACTGAGGTAAATATAAGTAGTTATTTTCAGCTCTGGACAAACAGACATGAAATATATAAGAATAAAAAATAACATCAAATAAAAGAGAAGACAGGATTATTTTATTATATTAGTTCACATTAATATGTTTGTGGTACAAAATTCAAACTCAGATCAAGAAGCCTAATAAACAAATAAACATAAATAAATAAATGCTGCAGCTTGAAGAGAAGCAGAATGTTTGTTGTTGCTGTACCTGGGTTGTCCAGCAGGGGGCGCCTCCCTCCCTCCTCCTCCGTGTGATTGATGTTTGTTGCTCAGGTCGGCTCTGCTGGCCTCCGGTCTGCTGCCTTCACTGTCCAACCTGATGGACGACCCGTCCACCTCCTGCAGGACGAACGTCCACCGGGTGCTGAGCGGCCTGGCTCAGCTGCCTGCAGGTAAGGCAAGGCTGCTGCAGCACCAAGACGCAGCACCTGCTGCAGCTGCAGCTGCTGCTGCTAACCCTGAGCCTCACTGAGAGCATCTGTCCTCCTGTCCCTCTGTCCTCCTGTCTGTCCTCCTGTCTGTCCTCCTGTCTGTCCCCTCCAGGCGCTGAGGCTCTCCTCTCTCTGGTCCCCAAGCTGATGCTGAAGCTGCGTCACTTGGAGGAGGTGCGTCGGGAGAAGCAGGAGGAGGAACAGGAGCTGCTCCTCTCCACTCTGACCTCCTGCTCCAGGCTGGACCCCCTGCCGGCTCTGGCCTCCGACGGCGTCCCCATCCTGGGACAGACGCTCACACACACTTCCCCAAGCATCCGCAGGGAGGCGGCGGCTGCCCTGATGGCGCTCAGGTCCGGCTGGAGAACGGGTCCAACGGGCGGGGGGGTTAACGTGTGTTAGTGTGTATTAGTGTGTGTTAGTGTGTGTGTTAGTGTGTGTTA